GTCGTCGCCATCGCCAATGCCGGCCCCCACAACGGGGCCCCCACCGTGCCTGCCGCCGCGGCTGTACTCGTCGAAGCTGTTGCCGCCGCCGGCGGCGCCGCCTCCACCAAAGTCACATTTGTAGACTCGGCTTGGCGTTGACCCGCCGTGTGCGCTGTCACTGCAGCCCCCAAAGTAATCACTGCTGCGGCCGTCCTCCTCATCCAAAAAAAATCCACCCTCAGCCCCCCCGGCTGGCTTGGCGGCCGCGCGTGGGCGGCGCTGCCTCTGCTGGCACCCCTCAAAGGGCAGGAAGGCGCCCTCCTTTGTGGCTGTTTCCTCACCCTCCTCACCCTCCTCCTCCTCCTCCTCCTCCCCCCCTGCCCTGGGCCACGTCTTCTGCCACTCCCACTGCTGCTGCTGCTGCTGCTGCTGCTGCTGCTGCTGCTGCTGCTGCTGGGGAGGCTGGCGCTGCTGCTCCATCTGGCCAGCGTCCTGGCTTGCTCGAGTTGCCAGCCGGGGCTTTTTTGCAGAGGGCCCCTTCCTGTCGCTCGCCCTCTCGGTTGGCTCGGGGCTGCGCAGGGGGCTGCTGCCACTGAGGGTGGCACGCTTTCCGCCGTTCCTGGGACCCATGCTGCTGGGATAACTGGAACTCATGGGCAGGCGTCGTCCGTCCGGCGTACCAGGGGCTGGCCTGCGGCGCAAAGCAGCGTGCATCGCCTCAAGTCAGACAGGCTTGGGTTGACCAGCTCTGGCCATGTCGTCGATGCAGGCTGAGGAGGCCTTACGGGTGGGCGTATAGTGACCATGTGCCCACCTTACACCTTTGCAGCTGGTGGCTCGTGCCTCCAGGGGGTCGAGCAACAGTTTGCTGCTCCCCCGTAGATCCGATCTTGCACCACGCTGGCCTCCGAGAGCTGTCGGGTGCCAAAGTACCAGGAAAGATGACAGCGCTTCGCTCTTGTCCACACTGCGCTCTACAGGGCGGCCTGTGGAATTGCTTCTCCAACGCCGTGCAAAGCGCAGCTCGGGCTGTGCTGCAATTGCGAGAATGACCTGACACAAGTCGACCGAAGCTGCCGCAGAAAGCTGATCGCAGTGCGCACTTGGGCAGAGATGACATCTCATTTGCAGCAGAGCAGCTGCCGGCCTCGCTGTTGACCGCCGCGGCATGTGGATCACATATGAGGCGCCCCTTCAGTGATTTGTACTATCCAGTCCTGTAATTTTTCACATCATTGCTCGTCACGAAGCTCCCTGCTGCCTTACTCTCCGCTATGCCGAGTGTGCAGCCCCTCTGCTGACAGGGACAAGGGCTCACCAGTCTTGACAAACGCATCGCCCCCCAGCTGCATGCAGAGCAAGCATGCCTCGCATGCGGCTGCCAATCTCAAGATAGCGAAACGGTGACTTACAAGCGAATGCGTTTGAGCGTATCATCAGGAACGGAGGGCCAGGAGACCCCATCATTGGCTTGCGGCGGCTGCACGTACCCCTGAATTTTGTCAAGGGGTCTGATGAATGCCGCCAGGCCAGGCCAGGAGGGCAGTGGACACCACAAAAATCCCTGCCACAACACAAGTGATGCGCGTGGCTGTAGGGGCGAGCTACTGCACGAGCACGTTTCAGCTGGTGGTGGCGAGACAGATGTCGGTGGCCGCGGTGGCGTCGTTCTTTGTGCGCACCAGCGCCCCCGCTGCAACCGCAGGGCTGAACCCCATGCCCAATAGCTGCGTGTAGTTGTTGCAAAAATCCACCACCTGTAAGGAGTGTGAGGATGTGTTGCGGGTGGCAAGAACGAGCGGCGCGTTGGCACGGGGGCGGATGCATGTGCATGCCAGCGTGCTTGAGCCTAGTGCTCCACATGCGCTGGCGTGTGCCGCACTATTGGAAGGCTATGGGGCATGCGCAGGGCCCTGAGTCCCTTTGCATGAGGCGTGATGCTGCAACACCAGGCCTTCAAGCTTTTCAAAAGCATCTCGGCACTGATGAGCCGCGGAGGTCCCTAGCGGCTGGTGCGCACCTGGGCCTCGTCGCCGCGGGTCTGCGCCTGGTAGGCGAGGGCCAGGTGCACCGCTGCTGGTGTGTAGCCCATCCCAACGTATTTGCCGACCTTGGTGCCGGCGTAGTAGGCATCCTGGACGGGGTTCAGGATGGTGATGAGAGAGTGTGCCGCATGGGGGTGGCTGGCGAGCATGCGGTGGCGCCTGGACAGAGAGTCATGCGATATACCAACTGGTGCACGCACTGCTTCTGCAGCTGGCAGCGGCGGCAACTGCAGAAGCCGTAACTTCATAGGCCGATTGCTGACTCTGCAATGAGACACCCCTCCAACCATAAGCTACACCTGCACTTGCGCCCCAAACCAAACGTTGACAGCGCCAGCCTCACGCCAACGCGCGCTGCTCCACCGCCTGCGCCCACCTCTGCCTTGCCCAGAAACCTATCCACCAGCCCGCTGCCCTCCTGCTGCATGACCTTGCGCTCGTACTCAAAGTCAAAGTCACGCTGAGGCCGCGAGCTCGCCTCCAGCGCGGGCGGGACGGTTACCTTGAAGCAAATGTGTGCAAGGTGCGCGGCACAAGGGTTGGGCCAAGTGGCAAGCTCTTGCGCCATGGCCGCCAAACCTGGCAGCCAGGCTGACATGCTACAATGATCTTGAGTGACAGCGATGCAGGTGCAGAGCTCTGTGCTCACACAGCATGGATGCGCGAGGTGAAATGCGCTGTGGGCATGTGTGCAGCGCTGCGCCCTTGCCTGCAGGCCCCTCCCAGAACGCACCAGGGGGTCGAGCCGGAATTCATCCGCAATTTTGACGCGCAGAACGCTATGGCTGTCGCCTGACCAGGGCGACGCATCAGGTTGCTGCTGCTGGGGCTGAGGTGGGCGAGTCGAAGCCCCGTCTGCTGCTGCTGTCGCACCATATGCACCCCCGCGGGGCGGCGGCCCGGCGCCGCCTGCAGACAGATTTTGTAGCGATGGATACATTCCAGGAAACAAGCGACCAGGCAAGAAAAACCAGGCAGCCTTGTTCCGGGCTGGTTATGGTACTGTAGCTGAATCTTGCACGGAGTATGATTATGTAGCGTGATCACTTCCTTCCTATAACTGCAACACAGCTAGTGTGGTGTTATACTGCAAGCTGCGGTGACAAGCATCGAGCCAGTGCGAGTGCCGATCTAGGGTGCTGTACTGCCGCGAGCGCCGTGAACACACATTTACGTAGTTCGCCGTCACAAAATATTTATAAGTATCTTGTGAAGTGTCGTGTTGTACTCTCAGCGCTTTCACTTCAGGCGCGCTCTGCTTGTCTGCTAGACGGACGGAGCTTGGCAAACCCTCCGGGACAAGCAGATAGATGTACGCCTTAAGTTCGACGCGTTCACTTGGGCGGCGAGCAGGTGAGCCGCTGGCGGTGATGGACGCTGTGGTGTGCGCTGTGCCATGCTGTTGCCACAGATGCAATGTGCGCTGGCTTGAGCGCCCCGCTACTGGACTGAAGCAGGCGGCTGGCCATGCAGGCAATGGATCACACAAACGGCCGTGGGCAGAAGTGGTGCCAGGTGGCGGTGCGTCCGGGAGCGGCGCCACTCGCAGCAGCAAAGTGAGGCCATCGCTGGCAGCCATGGCTGTACCACACGGCAGCAGCGGCGGCAGCGAGGGCAGCAGCAACAGCGGCCTGCCAAAGCGGCAGCGCGGCAGAAAAGCAAAGCAGCCGGGCGTTTTTGAGGTGAGACAGGGCCTGGTTGTCTCGGCCCCGATGCCCACCAGCCACCTGCAAAAACACAGCTGACGCACTCTCTGCGCCTGCAAGGATGCTGTTGCACGCTTTGAACTCACACCTGCCTGGGCAAACGTGCAGCATGTCAAGTAGCAGGCGCTCCCCGTGCCGCTCACTTCTGCCAGCACGCGCCACTGCCCCACCCCCCCCCCACCCCCCCTTGCGCCACCGCACGACAGGTGCGGGTCATTACTCCGCCCCCGCGCTCCCTAGGCGTGTACGAGCTGCCGCCGCTGACCCACAATGGAGAGGAGGTCGTCATTGACGGGGAGGTGCGGGGGCTGGGAGGGCCGGCAGCTTCCTAGCGCCTGCCCGCCCGCCGCGACTCGCATCATTACAGCTCAGCACAACCCTCATCACGTGCAGCGGGCGACACTGGCATTGGGGGCTGGGCGGCAGCAGTTGCAACGGAGGCGGCATGCGAACCGAGCAGGACTGCTTGTGCGAGACGGGCGTGCGCTGCGAAAGGGTGGTGCTGAGCGAGCAGCCGCTCACCCCTGCCGCTCCTTCCCTCTTCAGGGCTACGTCGTGCAGCGGCTGGTGTTGAACTACAAATTGAGGGGAGGTGAGCTCGGGCTTTAGAGGGGGTGGGGGGCGGCGCCAGCGGGCGGGGCTGTGGACACCGGCGCGCAGTCGCATCGAGTCAAGTGCGAACTGTACTGCAGGGTCTCTGCAGCCGTTCAACCCCATCGCAGCGGGCGGGCGGGCAGCCGCTGGGGAGCAGGCGCCGTTCGGAGCACGGACGGCCCCTCACGGACCGACAGTTTTGGCCGCTTGGCGGCCGCCTACCACCGCCTTGCACAGTGGAGATTTCGTCCACAGCAGCCCCCGATTCGGCAGCGCCCCTGCGGCCCCCCTTCCTCGCCCCTGCGGCCCCCCTTCCTGCCTGTTTATCCTTGACCCCACTTCCTTTGCGATTCCCCGCTTTCCGTCTGCCTGTTTTTGTGCCCAGGCAAGTACTATCGCGACCACAACGCCCTGGAGGTGAGGCAGCAGAATGGGCGCGCCCCGGCCAGGGTTGCGGGGCCCAACTTGTCCCCTGGCAGCCGCCCCTGCCGCGGCCCTTCGAGCCATCCACTTTGTGATGCGCCGCCTCCCGCGTCGCCATGCCGCCACAAATCGCACCCCGACGTACCGGCGCCCCGTGCCTGCCCCGGCACTTCCTCACCCCCCAGGTGACCCCCACGGGCCGCTTCTTCACCGAGCTCATGCTTGACAACCTGATGAAGGCGCGCTACCTGGGGCCCACAGGGCCGCAGGACTGAGGCCGGGGGCCGGCGCTGGGGCCGAACAGCGGCCGGGCCGGGCGGCTCACCCGGGAGGCTGCCGCGGCGTGTGCTGCGTGCCCTGGGCTTGGGCTTTGCCGCAAGTCAGGTGCTAGGCGGGGCGTTGGGGGCTTCATGAAGGTGGGCGGGCCGATTTAGCCCCCGCTCGGAGGCCGCTGGCGCCTGGCAAGCTGCAGTCGCGCGCCACCGGCAGCGCTGACGAGGATTCGCAAAACGAGCTCACAACACTGACGGCGAGGGGTTCTCGCGCGTGGCGCTCGTGCGCCGCGACTGTTACGGGGCCGCCCTCTGTTGGCAGCTGGCATGTTGATTGTTTGTTTAATTTTTCCTGTGTTTGCTGAGAGCGAGAAGAGTCACCAAGAGCCAGGCCATGTTCTCCTGTTTGCAACTTTGGGAGAGATGAATTGTCAAGGCAAGCATCTGTGATGCAACATATGCAGAGTGGCCATCTTCTCTGAGAGTTCTGTAAAATGCAGGGACCTACGTCCAACGCTGATGCGGGAATTCAAGTCAGTTGTCAGTCGAAGCGCAAAGGTCAACGGTCACGAACGGCTTTTTGGTTGTGGGGAAAGGCCGAGATTCAGGCTGCTTCTAAACAGTTTTTGTGGCGTGCTGATTGTGGTCGCGTCAGCAAGTCCATGGGGGCGGGGCCACGGAAGCACCCCCCTACCGCGGCGGCAGCTGCAGGCGAGAGGGTGGGGTGGGGTGGGGTGAAGTCGCACAGGGCCAGGTGAGGTTGAGTGTGGGCCTGTCAGCGTCGCGCGTCAGTCTGTTCCTTCTATGCCCCTCATGACATCACCGAGGTTTGACTCCCTTGCTGATGCGGCCCACAGCACCCACGCGGCCCCACCTTCAAAAGCTGCCCGCCGGCTAGTTGCTGCTGCTGGTGCTGCTGCTGCCCAAGGAGTTGCTGCTGCGCGTCTGGTGGCAGCGGGTCAAACATCGGCAGGCCAAACCCGCCGGCGC